CACAGCCTCTTCCCAATATGCGTTTTTGCAATTTACATATATGCAAAAACGCATAAAAACAACCGCTAAACGGAAAGTGTTTATTTCCGTTTATGCAAAATTTAAGATGATTTACGGTATTGAGCGCACGAGGCAGGTGTGAACAATCATTCATGCGGTTAACCTAATTACTTCGAGTTCGATGCAAAAACGCATGATCGCACCGGCTCGCCTGGTGCCTTCCAGCCTGGGTTTATTATCAAAAACCGACCGTTAAACGAAATTTATTCACTTTCCTTTATACAAAATTTACGATGATTTTTTATAGTGAGTGCACAAGGTAAATGTGAAGTAAGAAGCATTCACATAGTATACGAACTAATTGCTGCTAGTGTACTGCATAAACACATGATCGCTCTAGCAGCCTGATAGGTCCCAGCCTAACTTTACATGAAGCCAGGTCCGTGAGCGGTCACACATCGAAAAATGCAAATTTGAAAATGCATAGAGTTTCGGAGTAGAAAGAATACGAAATTCGCAAAACGCACTCGCTTTCGAGCTTGCGATAAAATTGATCATTTTTCATTCCTTCGTGCAAGGAACTGAGCCTCCAAGTTGCACTTAAATTGCACATGAACGCAGGATACCCCCGGAAGATCACAACCTCGCAGCTTGTCCAATACGTAAAATAGTCACTCCTCTACAGATATCTTTGAAGTTCTCTAAGTCGTGGTGCAAGTGCAAAACGAAAGTCATTTTAGGCATGCAACTTCAGGTATGGACGATAAATATTCCAACAAATTTTCAGCTATCGTTCTGCCTCGGATTTTCGAGTTGGCACAGTGTCAACTGAAAACTTCCAGGTGACTGCTTGCGCAGTATAGGTGTGCGCGATAGCTGAAATCGAAATCTTTAGCTCACATGGATAGGGGACATCAACGTGAACTTTCAGCTTTTCAGCTTGTGTGGTTTTCGAAATCGTTTTCCCGTCAAAAAACTCGCGTACTTTTTTCCGGCATCTGCGCGTGAGATCCAGGTGCACTGATTTCAGGTTGCGAGGATGACACGTGCGTTGAGAACATGCTCGCAAAATTTCAGCCTCCCAGCTTTCCTACTTGCAGAGTTGAAAGTGGGTGGCAGAGTCCACTTGCCCACACACACACGCACACATACGCACATATGCACACCCTATGCCTCTCGGTAGTATATGCTTTTGCTCATTGTAGCAGCGCTATGCACGGTAAAAACCCGTAACCGGTATGTCACGGCTTAGAAGTATCACTAGTGTTTTATTCACTAGCATATGCTATCTGTTGACCCATCAATCACTACAGTTTACTAGACCACTTTGAGCGGCGAAATACAGTTATTCTCAGAGCTCTGGTTTTCATTCGGCCAAATTATTGGCTCATTCCGAGAAGCTGCGTTGGTTGTATGTTTGCTTAACTCGCGATCTGCTCGCGGCACGGCACTAAAATTCATGTGCTGTTTGCTTTAGCTCGCTAACCATGCATACTTTTGCTGCAAAAAAACACTAAAAATGTGAGCAAGGTTTTACAAACAGTTGTGCTTCTCAGTTTTTCACAGATGTAGCAGCAATAGCACTGTTGATTTATGCCCTATGTGTTGACGAATAAGTGAGATGAAAATCTGGGCGAAAGCTGTAGTGAACTTCAAAGTAAAAAAATAGACGTCTGAGGGCTGGTCAATGTCCATTCACTGAAACATAATGAATCGAATGAATGATAGGGTTTTTTTTTTTTTTGAAAAAAGGACGCGTTTTACTGTTTCATTTCATAAAAGATCCTACCTTTGCTTCATATTCTTGATATTTACGGCGGCTCAGGTACATCGCATTTAAGTTGCTTTTGGGGTAGGAAAGAGACAGGGGGTGGGAAGGGAGGTGAATGAATGCACCAATACAGTTTCAGTGAATCGCGATCTAGCAATTTCCTAAGAGGTTGAACTGCTTAGCTGCGAAAATTCAAATTTTCGATCTCACCAACAAATAAGTTTGCCCCCAAAACAGAAACCAAGTGGCCCTTATTGCACGGGCCTCTTCCTTTGTCCACTTCTCGACCGGATTCCAGTTCTTTCTCCTTAATATTACAATTGTGATCAATTTAAACCCAGGTTGGAACGCATCAGGCAGGCCCGCGCGACCCTGCGTTTTTGCACCGGACTTAAAGTACTTAGTTCATTAACTGCATGAATGGTTATTGCTTTATACCTACCTTTTGCTTTATACCTACCTTATGCCTACCTAGCATAGACCGCCACAAATTTTGCGTAAGGTAAATGTACAGTTTCCATTTTATAACCATCCTTTAAAAGCAACCTAACTGTTAAGTGAGAAATTTCCCCGCCAAAACTTTTAAGTGCCCGTACGTAATAACCACGCATACCTCAAGGCTGAATTTGAAATATTTGAGTTGGACAGGGAAAATCCCTTTAAAATCTCAGCCTTGCAGCTTCTCCGTTTGCCGAGTTAACAATTCTCCCGCCAAATCCTTCACGTGTTCGCATGTGAGAACCACGCATACCTGACGGCTGAATTTGAAATATTCAAATTGCACTTGGAAGTGGAACATTCCCGCAAAATTTCAGCCTTCTACCTTTTTTGGTTCCTGAGGTAGTAATTTTCCCGACGAAACTTTTATACGCCCTTACTAGGATACCATGCTTACTTGGGGGCTGAATTTGAGATCTTTAACAGGGAATATCCTTACAGAGTTTCAGCTCCTTACCTTGTCTGGTTCCCGAGGTCGCTTTCCCGCTAAAAAATTTGCATATTTTTTTAAAGCATCCGTACGCTGCACCCAGGCGCCCGCGGGGAATGTTTTGCGGCTCAAAAGATCTAAATTTGCTGAGATTGAATTTCCAACATCTACGAGCGAAGCACGCTCCTTTGTTCTTCGAGAGTGAGCTGCTGCATGCCACATACCTCATCACCATTTCTGCCTCTTCAGCTCCCTTACGACATCGACGACTTACCCGAGGTTCTGTTTTGCAATTAAAACTGCTCGATGATTTAATGAACTTAATGAAGTTACAAAGCAGATTTAATGAATATGCGAAAAAAAAACAAACTTAAAAATTGAAGTTAAATGTGCATGGAAATATTTTCAAACAGATCTACCGCTGATACTTTGTGAAACAACTGGTGCAATGTAACAGAATGGAACACATTCGGGAAGTAAAGTATGAAGTAAGGAAGGACCGGAGAGCAGAAGTAAACCGGAAATACATTCGCTCGACACCGAGACGAGCTGCCATGCTGCAGCATTAATACCAAAATAAACTGAATACTGAGAAAGTACAGAAAAACAAAAATATCGCAAAAATGTTTGCAAAAAAACAGTAGTTTGGGAAAATAGCAACATTAACAAATTTCTGCTTTGTGGATAAAACCGATTAATCGAAATTAAGCTGGCGGGGTTAACGGGAAAAGCCTATTCTCAGGAAAACAACTTGGGGTCATCTGTAAGCGCAGTCTCTCTGAAACCCCTCGACAGTATTTTGGCGAATGCCAGAAACCCAGAGATATCGTCAGCGTGCTTCATAAGAAACCTTCCGGCAGTCAACGATTGATAGCTCCGCCAGCAAACACTTGCTGCTAGTAAAGAACCGCTTTCGAATTTCTCATAGATCATGAAATAAGGCAAGGTCTGACATCGAAATGGATCAAAAGAAAGTGCCCGCCTAATCTCGATTGCTCAGCAAAAAAACTTCTTGATACAGACAGTGGAGATAAGGCGACAGAGCAAGGATAAGTTACATAGATTCGAATGAAAATTCTGAATTGTTTACATAAAGAAGACTCTCCGCTTCACGAAAATTCGAGTAGGAAAAGCAAAAACTGCTTACAGCACTCGGGATTCCCATTCGTCTCCAATTCAAGTACCAACTAGGCCAAACCTCGCCCAACTTGACAGATCGGCGAGTCGTCATACTTTCAACGTGGCATGGCCGTAAGCATGTTTGCCCTGGTTCATTTTATACAGAAATGTTGCTCAACAAGTATTCTATTAAAATCAAAGGCTACTCGAATTTCGTTCACTCCAACATGCATATACACACTTATTACACTCGCTTCAATGTCTTTTTCAGTCATCGATCGAAGCAGAAGCATCGCCCAGAGACAATATCTTACAAACGTGCCGTGGTAGTTTATTCTGACTGGCTGCAAGTTGATGAAATATCGCTTCTGCAGACGTCAGCGTATCATTTAGATCTATATTCATCGACAGATCGTTGACGTGCTAAAATTGTAAAATTTAGCCCAAATTTCAAAAAAAAAAAGTGCGATAACTGTAACGGTACCGCAAATAACGCGTATAATTTATAGTGTTAAATATTCACGAGTATGCATGAACGCATAAACATTTTTTGTTAAAATATTCACGAGTTTCAACAATACGATGAAGCAGAGCTTAACTGACATAGCATCAACAAAAGTGGCTACTTTTTACACACACACACAAAAAAAAAAGACGGTTAGAAGAATGAAGGGGAAAAACCTTAAGAATTTCTGTTAGGCCAAATTTGTTCTCGATAATGAAGTTCATTTGCCTGTCCAGTATTGCAACACATATTAGAAGGTGAAAATTCGAGCACGGCAAATCAGTCCATAACACCTGAAAAAGTTAAAATGAATAATGGAAGAAGACAAACTGAACAACTGTTGCAAAAAATTCTTGCTGAGCAACCAACCTCCCATAGACGCATTGTATCTTCGAAACAAAACTCGCGTTTGAAAGCGACCAATACCCAACGGAAGCAGAAGTACATATCATCCGAGTTATGACTTTCTGAATAAGTGATAGCTCAGTCAAAATCAGTTTTAACTACCGATTTTTGAAAAAAAATGCTGCAAATTCACTAGTCAATTTTTTGAGTATTTTTGCCAAATGACAGTGAGCTAGAAAGCACAAACACAAAAAACAAACCCAAATAATTAGCTAATTTCGGATTGACAACCATTAAAAGATCACGTAAATCCATCAACTGCTTTTTGATAGCTGACTGATCCAATTCAAAATTCCCATGCTGTAAATGAGAAGCAAAAATACACATAGTAATGAATTTTTACAACTCCCTCACCTCATTTTTGCCGCTCCTAACCATAAACTCAATCTTTTGAGACGCATTTTATCGGTTCTCTTCTTTCAGTTACCGGTAGACTTAAAAAATTCCTTTGTGGGATGCATTTTAAAGATAAACCGCCTGCCTACAGATCCTGGAGTGCACGACTGAAAACGACCAGAAGATGAACATTTAAGTCATAAGTTAAAGCTATTCTTTCTTTCACACCCTTTACGAGAATCCGGTGGCATTTGGAATTCCCCAAAGCAGCAACAACTTGCCAACGGCAACCTCCCATTGGTGTGAATGCTATTCGCAGCTCCAGTTTTATAGTGAATTGCCTTCGCGGTTGAAAATAGGAGAACAGAAGGATTTCACTTGAATGTCATGTGTTTGAAGACATTTTATGACGCAGTCTGTGCTTCATCCCTTAGCTGTATACACAGACCGAACAGTGCATGCGGGTAGGAGTGGGAATCATCAGTACA